CTGGAGACGAGAAGGGACAAAGAGGATTTGATTGAGGTGTTTAAGATTATTAAGGGTATTGACAATATAGATCCATCAAACTTTTTCGTGTTTAGCAGTGAAAACAATAGGACAAGGGGTCATAAGTTCAAATTTTGGCAGCGTAGGAGTTGTCTGCAGTTTAGATAGTATTACTTTTCAAACAGGTTGTTTGGCTTTTGGAATGAGCAGCGTTCAAGGGTGGTGGAGGCAGAAAATTTAACTGATTTCAAGAAAAGATTGGATAATACATGAGTAGTAAGGGGTGGTTATAATTGGGAGCTGGAAGGGACATCCTTGATGGGCTAATAAGGTAATACAACTAGAAGTGGTTTTTTGTATTTTTGAGTCCTTATTTTGCTTTTACATAACTATCTACCATAAAATTTTAATTGTTTGAAATTTTCTTATTTGTCTATTTATATTTTGTATGGTCTGATAAATTATCATCTTTAACTATGAATATTTCCAGATGTCATATTGTTACTCAGTTTAATGAAGGGTTTTATGACATTGTTATTGCCTCTGATGAAAAACCACTTGAAGGAGAATATCGAAAGAATATGAAACGCAAGCCAAAAAGGTGTGTAATTTCATTGTTGTTATTTTTTGTGTTTTCTGTATTTTGATTTTATCAAGTATTCTTTTGAGTACTCTAGATGCAAGCTACAGGTATATTGATATGCATATTGTTTAAATAATGGACTTTTATTAAAATTTGGGTAGATCATATGAAAATACAAACATACTGATTTTTACAATATTTTAGTAACTGGCTTTTGTTTTGTCAGGATTTACAACTATGTTTAGTTTTGTGTTGTTTTGGTAAGTAACTGTAATTGTATTAGAAATTACAACCACGTTTAGTTTTGAGTTGTTTTGGTAACTAACTAAAGTTCTGTCAGAATGTACACCCGTATTTAGTTTTGAGTTGTTTTAGTAACTAACTAAAGTTCTGTCAGAATGTACAACTATGTTTAGTTTTGAGTTGTTTTAGTAACTAACTAAAGTTCTGTCAGAATGTACAACTATGTTTAGTTTTGAGTTGTTTTAGTAACTAACTAAAGTTCTGTCAGAATGTACAACTATGTTTAGTTTTGAGTTGTTTTGGTAACTAACTAAAGTTCTGTCAGAATGTACACCCATGTTTAGTTTTGAGTTGTTTTATTTAACTAACTTAAAGTTTTTTTAATTTGAATACATGTAAGTAACGATAAAAATTTCAAGCATATTTTCATGTTTTATTACAATTTGAATAAGTCAAAAAATTATGATTTTTGGCTCTTGGTCAGTCTATAGTTTAAAAGTTACTACTATTTTTTTTTCATTATTCATGGGAGTAGGTTTTTAGGAGGTAATCCTGGCAGTACCTGTTAGTTTTTTATATCTGTAGTGTATGGATTTCCTCCATATACAAATACAAAAGCCTTTTTTTGTTGTGTTACTCTTATTGTATTAACAGTATCATAAATGATGTTCTAAGCGTCACTGATACCAGACAGACCAAGCATCAATTTACCCACATTCTCCATTCTTTCACTTTTATTTTTTTTGTACCCGTTTTAGGAGGATATGTATAATCTCTGCTTTCTCATCGTAAACCAGACTGTTTTTGTCATGGTGTTAAATTCACTCATTATAAATTTTGTAGACAGTGTTAATTACTGCTGTTAGTCTTTTAACTAATATAATAATTTTGACCACTCTTTAGGCCTTACTCACAAAGTCTGCCTCTAATATTCATATTCCTTTAATTTTCTAACTTTTTAAGGCCCTGTCCCTCAGATTGTTTTGATCCATTTTCAGTTTTCTTTATTTTTTCTCATGTTGAGACTTTCTCCAAATAATTATAGCTATCAGATTATTTTAGTCTGAATCAAAATTTGACCATGCAGTCATCCAAAGCTATGTATCTCAATGTAGTTTCTCTTACTACATCGCTATAACACCTTCACCTGTTGTTCACCCTTAAATTTGTCTCGGCCATACTACTACATTATGCAGAAGAGAAATAAGCCAAAAGGAACTGTATAAGTTTATAGAATTTTACTTCTGGTGATCATTTGTCTTGAGATGACCAGCATGTAATCTTTGTCTCCTTGACCTACTTCTTGGACAATGTTAGATATTTTTTCTCTAACCTTTTGACCCTACCGAATGGCCAAAAGTAGTATAAGTAAATTGAGTCTTCTCAGCCCACTAAATGATTCTTTTCTGATTCAAAGAAATCTCCCATTTGGACCTTTTAGTGGGTTGGTTCGTCTCTGAGATTCGTGGGTTTCACTGATCCTTCAGTTTGATGTTAATTTTTGTCTCTTCCTTCAAATCCCATTAATTAAAAAATTCTAGATCAGAAAGTTTCAAATTGCCTTCAGAAAAGACAAGTTAGAGTTGTTTGTCTTGCTTCTCCAGCCATTTACTCAAATCTCTTTGTGGTTCGAAAGATATCATTAGTTGGGAGATGTCTCTCAACCTTTCCTGAAGTCACCCCATTTTCAAATCAGAAGCATGAAATTGTTTGAAAAGTACCTTCATTATAGCCATTGGAAAATCATAGTGATTTTCCAGACTGTTCTTCCATATGGCTCCATACATTTTTTGTTGAGTGGTCTAGTTTTTGCTGCTCTGCTCCTTTCTTTTGACACTGACTTTTCCATAGAAGATTGACTTATTCTGACCTTTTTATCCACTCATTTCCTTAAACACAAACAGCTCACCACCCGTATGACTGCATTTATTGGGTGAGTCATCCATAACTCCACTTCCCAGTTTAGTACTAAAACGGTATTTGTTACATAATGATATTTGAATCAACACAGCTTAATGTACACTTCAACTTTCTCCTCTGGCCATACTATCGTTTGTGTTTTGTGCACACACCTACTACCAAAGGTATACTTTCTGTTTTAGAGTTAATGGCTTTATTTCATGTGACAACTTCAAGGAGGTTGTTCTTATGTCTGACTTCAAACCTGTTACTATGCAGCATGCCTATAGTTTCCATTACTCTTGTGTTTTTCCAGTTTTGAGTTTTGATAGCTGGAACACCATTTCTTCAATCTCCTTCATCTTTTCATAAATATCTTCCACATTGTTTGAGGTACTGTGTTGGGGATTTGTCATTATATTGGTTCTTGGACTCCTGTAGAAGTGACAGCTTATTTGAACATGCTAGAATTTTGGGTTGTTTATCACGTTAATTTTGAGTTTCTGTTCTAAATTTTATATTTTTTTGAATTAAATTATTTCCTCTGAAATACATTACCACCAATCTTTCCACAACCGGGAGATATGTTGTTTTCCATCATGATTGCAACCATGAAATCTGGGTTATGTATCCCATGCATACAAGTAGTGGAAGATGGTAGGTTGGTAAGTTGGTTTCAAAGACATTCAGAACTTTAGCCTCATGTTTGTAACAGGAAAACAATTCAACAAGGAAAGGCTTTTCATATTTCAAAGCTCAGTTTTAAATTCCCTTTAATGATCAAAATGTAAAATTTAACAAAACTGTTTATTTTTATTCTTTTGTTTTAAAATCACTCGTACTCTAGGTTAAAAAAAGATCGGGAATATGGAGTATCTCGTGGAATTGACTTCCAGTTTGTTTCTAATGTTATTAATTTTGACTTCCCTCCAAATCCAGATGCTTATATTCACAGAGTGGGCAGGTTAGTAAATTAAGTTTTCAAACTTATTTAGTATGAATTTAAAAATTTGGTGAATATCATTGGTTTTGTGCAGAAAATTTATTGCCCCATTTTTTTGTATGCAGCAACAATTTTTTTCATTAGTGTTTGATTTTATCATAGAAATATTATATAGGCTAATTTAAAACCACATTTGAAAAGAATCATCTTTGAAAGAACTACATTGTCGTTATCAGTTCAATAACTAGAAAAGAAATGAGGAGAATTCACTTATTGGAAACTTTCAATACAGTCTTACCTCCATTCACACAAAGCTATCTCAATCTTCTTTCTGCTCTCTAAGCATTACTATACAAATTTTCACGTTCGGCACACCAGTCAAAATACCACACCAATTCCACGCCTCTATTGAACATGTATATATCATGTGACTACTCTCCACCAATTGTATTGTGCCACCTATTTTGGTGCAGCTATTCCCACTCAATCTTCACTTCAAGAATTGGCAGGATTTAAAAAATAACACTGGCAGTGGGGAGGAAGGATGGGAAGTGTGTGAAAGGAGTAAGTGCCTATTATAAATACATTTTCAGTGTAAAAAAATGTTACCTTCTGAAATGGTCTTACGTCTTCTCAAACAAAGCTAACATCCCACATGCAAAAGTGGAGGGGCCAGTGTAGGCATACAAGATTGAAATCAAGTAGAAAGTGAGCATCCAGAATGAACGGGTGTACTCTGAAATGAACCAAAGAACACAGGGCAGTGTCATTCCGAACCCGGGATTATGAAAGGGATCCCACATGGGTTGGTCTCCACTCCAATTGACAACTGTCCACCTGGGAATAAGCAACAAGGTGAAATGGAAAGAGAGAAACTAGGTTTATCCTCTCCTCACTGAGTGGATAAATGGTAATCTAAAAAGTCTACAATGCACTCAGGAGGAAGCTTCCATAGTCCACCACCCCAGCAACTGAGAACTGGTAAGGACTTTCTTACTCCACTTGGAGAAAAATAGGGAGGAAGTAAATGTAGTGGGTAAACCTGAGGAACATCACACTGGAGAAAGTGCAATGGGTGCCAACAATTCCCTATTTTGTAAAGCAGACCATTCTTGATTTATTCAATCAATGGGTTGGCAGGGATGGGCAGAAATCCCCTTTTGTTTTACTCAAGAAAGTCCATGAGGAACAGTCCACAATGAAGTGAAACTTATGGATAAGGAAAAATGTGTATATACCACTGGGCATGCCGCCAGTGGTATTGAGGAACACCCTGTCTCTACAGTGAACACTCTAGCTCAACCAGTAAATATTGCAGGTTTGAGGCAAAGCATACCTGACCAGGCAACACCCACCATAGAGTGGAATCCCATTAGCACTGGTAAAAACAGAGGGTTTTTTAAAAAAACACGAAGCTTGTTGGGTCAATATAAATGATCTACAACCAGATTCAGGCACTAGGAACATGGCAAACTAAGACCACCATGTGGTGACTGCGGGTCCAGAAAAGGAGTCTCAAAGCACAGAGACCTGGATTTGGTACCCCCTTGCTTGGTGATATAAGTAACCACTGTGGAGTTGTTGGAGTTTATCATAACCACCCTCCATCGCAACAGAGAAAGCAAGTGGGACAAAGCTTGATGAACAGCCATAAGTTCGAGAATGTTGTTATGGAGAGAAGACTCCTCGACCGACCGGAAACCGGAAATCTCCCAAGTGTTGAGGTAAGCATTTCAACCCTCTAAAGATGCATCTGTGAACAGATATAAATCTGAACAAGGTGGAGTAAGTAAGATTGGTTCCTATCTAGCCACCAAACCAGGCCAGCCCTCACTGGTAAAAGGGTGGTTCAAGGGATCCAAGTAGAAGTTACGCTGATTGAAGAGTGTTCACTGAAGGGATCACATATGAGCTCGACCCCTGGGAATGAGAGCTTCCAAGGAAGGTCACATCCCCAAGAGAAATAGAACATCTCTAACTGTAAGAGAATGAAAGGTAAGAAGAACCTTGTGAACTGCTTGCTCTATATCCTGAAGATAAAAGGAGAAGGCTGGGGCCAACTGAAGTTGAAATTGAAGATAACCCCCAAATGAACAAAGTATTGAGTGGGGTTAAGAACGGACTTTTCCACCTTTATCAGGAATCCCACCCACACTGCTTCTTGTAGGAGCAGATGAGTGTGGTCTCTGGACTGTGAACAGGAAGGAGCAAGCAGGAGCCAGTTGTCCATATAACTATGAGTGTGGAGACCCATTGAGTGAAGATGTCAGGCAAAAGTTCTTACCATCCGACAAAACACACAAGGAGTTGAAGTTAGCCCAAATAGTAAGGCCCTAAACTGGAACACTCTACTTCTAAGTATACCTAACTATCGATGATGTGGGTACTGTGGGGATAAACCCTGAACTGGAGAAAAACTGGATTCTAGTATCAAAAACATAGGAAGCGTAGCCGGTGTAAAGTTCAGCCCTCCGAACAGGAAAGAAACGAACATGTTAGGGATGTAGCAATGCAAAAAATTAAGCGTTACACTGATAAAAATTAGGATTATAAGGTCCATATTTAACGATGAAGGGGAAAAATTCAGATAGAACATTAAATTAGATGTAACCAGTAGGAATGATATATAAAGTATAAACTATCTAAACATAGCTAGTCTAAAAAGTACATAATAATAACAGACACATAAACTGACTAGAATTACTGAAAACAAAGTAATAGTCAATATCTAACTTACAATAAATCTAAATTAACTTAGACAACAATGGACACATAAACATCTGAGCACCAACGATGTGAAATTGTTAATTCTCCTATGTGTAAAGAGGGACAAAGCCACACAAAGTGCATATGAGTCAAGCACACCACAAGTATTGCAATTAGGTGTGGAGTGTACAAGTTGAAAACTTACCACCAATTCACAGAGAGGTCTGGAAGCAATAGGAAAAAAGAGAACAAACCTCCACCTGTGTCAACGATGTGGACACAGGAGCAGGAAAAGAAACTAGTGAAATCATCCTCGTTTCAAACACACAGAAGAAAACTGAATATGTACTGACCTGAGTAACCAGCTACAAAAAAGATAGTAGGAAGGTGAAATCTCCTGAAGAGATGATCAGACTTGATATTCTTCAATTCCTTCAATAGGATTCTACGACATTCTACTGCCGGTACTATT